ATGAATGGACAGTGACAGGTGGATGGTTAGAGGGATGAAGGATGGATGCATGTGTGGATGGAAGCACATATGGATGAATGGATGAATGGACAGTGTCAGGTGGATGGATAGAAGGGTGAAGGATGGATGCATGTGTGGATGGAAGCACATATGGATGAATGGATAAATGGATGCATGGATGAATGAAAGAATAATTTAATGAATCTAGAAGGACTGATCGTTTGTTTGTTTGATTGATTGATCAAATGATTGATTGATTGATGGGTGGGTGCATGCATGGAGGAAGTAATGAATGGATCAAAGGATAGATGGAAAGGGACAAACGGATGGAGGGATGGATAGATAAATGAAACAGTGATTGGAATAACCACTATATAAACACTTTACCTTTCTGCACTTTTCTTTCTTGTTCCATCATCTTCATCAAAATCTTTAATACTTGACAGTTCAAGATCACTGAAATCTTCATCCTCAGAAGAATCTTCATTCTTGACTTCAATTTTTTTCTTTGGAGTTTCTAACAGAGGCTACAAAACAACAACATTGGCATCTTCTACTCACACTGAAGCTTTTGAGAAAATTCCTTTATGTCAAGATTTTTCAGGGTTCCTCCTCCTAGTCTAGAAATTCAATATCTAATTATAAAATCAGTGAAAGGAGTGTTTTTGCACTAATTTTTACCCTTGTTAAGCAGCAGTCCTCTTTTTAGTGGCCAGTTGTCAAAATCCCAAGCTGGGGGTTTTTACACTAGTTTATCATTCTACTAAGCACCCAACCTTATTTAGCAGCTGCTTACAACAGGAAAACTACCTTTAGGATGCATTTGACTGCTTAAAAGAAATGGAACTCCCTGAGGATGCATGCAGCTCATTAATAAATATGGAAATTGCACTGTAATTTCATAGACTTACAGCTGTAACACTCTTCTTGGCATCTTCCAATGTAACAGTTTCCTTCATGATACGTTTAGCTGTTGTTTCTTTATTCATGGTCTTTCTTCTTATTACCTCCAGCTGCCTAGTATTTTTGGTTTTGTCTTTCTCTGTCTCCTCATCAGTACTTGTAACAGCTTCATATACCTCACTGAAGACATGTTCATTTACAGATAAATAAGTGATAAATCTGATAATCAATCAAGGAGGGAATGCAGGTGGTCTGATAGGCACAGAGAGCCCAAGCTCCAATTCCAACTTTCTTCATCATATTAGTAACTCGCCTAAAAATGTTGAGTGCTCATGACTTTCTGGGAAATATTTAGAGGTAACACGCTGTTCCTTGCCTCTGCGACCTCTCCCCTGGTTCCACCAATACAGTCTCACCTTATTCATTATACACTTTTACTTACCCTGTTTTGATTTTCTTTTTAAAGGAATCTATAAGAAATTTCCATCTGTAACCATGAGCATTAGAAGTCTGCAGAGAAAAAAAGCAAGATATTAAAGACTTCAATGTCCAGCAAATAAACTCCATTTATTTAATGTATAATTATTAGAAAAGCTTACCATTATCCTCGTAAATAGTTTTTCCCAGTTGAGTACCCTTCTTTCTTGAGCCATTCTCTCTGACTATTGTAACAATGATTTATATATAAATTTATTATGAAAGTGAAGATCATGGTTGACATCTTTTTACCAATAATGGTTTTTTGTACTTAATTCTCTTTTTTTTTACTTAACAGGGTGGGGGAAGGGAACATTTTATTGTAAGCGCACAACTTTGTGGATAGGGTACTTTTTTATTGTGTTTAATTTTCAAAGTAAACTTTCTTTGACATATTTCACATACATATGCTTTTGGCATAGGGGGAGGGGGGGCCAGGGG